AGACAAAGGTAAATTGTTCATTTGAGCGTTAGTTTGTACTTTAGTTTCGAAAACGTAGCAGTTTCTTAGCAGTTTAACTTTTGGAAAACTTCCCTCGCACTCGCAATTGTACTCGCAATCACATTCGATTTAGTAAGGAGAATTTCGCTATTGAGAATTTTGAGCCGCGTATAAAAGTTGTTGTAACATAGCTCCTTCGCATTTTTATCCTGTAGCAATTTCATAAAAGGAATATAACCTCCGTTATACTCTGATAAAGATCATAGCCACGTAATTTCGCTCCCTCGATGGCTGAGAGAACCCTTTCTGCGGCTCGGTTTCTCTCTACGCCATCTCGGGAGCGAAATGACGTGGCTATGATCTTTATCAGGGTATAAAGACATAGGAACGGAGGTTTTATTCCTTAAGTAAAAATCTACTAGTGTACTAATGCAAATGAAACAATCTGATTGGCTTAGCTACTCGTATACTATATCATCCATTAGTGTGCAGTGGCTGGAGGTCGTCTACAAAATTGCGGTTTCTTCTCGTTTCTCCAAAGTTTCGGAGGAGGATTTAAAGTTATTACAATACAATTGTTATGATTTTTATTAAAACAATTAGATTATTCGCTCTTAATTTCTATGATGTGATAGTTGATTCGACCTGCGGCCTCATCAACTATCACATCATAGAAATCTTGAGCTCATAATATAATTATTAAGAATTATTATACATTCAACTTACTATCTCTTTTCTGATTGGCCGAAAGCGTACAGTGAATTTTCGAAATCAGCGCCTTTGAAAGCATCTACGTCATCTACCTACAGTTTATCGAGAGGATCACGGGTAATAACCTGCAGATTATACAATAATCATGTCAAGGACACTCAAGGTCACGGGTAATCATGTCATCTATGACCGCTGTGCATAATTTCCAAGGGTAATCATGTCAAGTTCGCGCACTTTGCGTTGCTTGCCGCTAAGTAAACAACATCGGTGGCAGAAACGTTATTCTTTTTCGTTGAATGTATAATAAAAAAATTATTAGATATCCAGAATAATCAAGGTCTCGGTAAGAGTTATCAGCCTCAGCCTTCGGCTTCGGCTGATAACTCTTACCTCCGACCTTGATTATTCTGGATATCACAAAAACCTCATCCAATAATTGTTAATAAGCCACTCGAAATATGTGGCGTATAACTTGAATATTTTAATTTTGTGAAAACAAGTTGTACCACAAACTAACTTTTGATTTATGTTTCAAGGCTTAGTAGAAGCATGTAGAGTATGTAGTTTGTTTATACCACATTCCTGATGTAATCCGTCACGCATGACCGCTGCAGCTAGTTGTGGAGTACTCCTTCCCCAATACAATACAATACAATACAATACAATACAATACAATACAATACAATACAATACAATACAATACAATACAATACAATACAATACAATACAATACAATGCAATGCAATGCAATGCAATGCAATGCAATGCAATACATTTATTTGCATTTCCCCAGAAGTAGCACCCCTGCTATTGTGTAAATCGTCCAATGGAAACGCAGCTATTTTCATCGCTAAGAATATAGCTCATAACAGAAAGGTCCAATAATGCCACAGAGAAGTTGACGCTGGAATATTGTCGTTCAGTAATGGGGAAAAGGATGTGAAAGTAGGAATGTCATTATATTCACTATGAAAGCATTCGAATTTGAGGACGTTTGGGGCGAAAATGGCAAAATTTGAGAATTACAGTAGAACCAAGCTAACACGGAAATGCAATATAAGTATGATAAAACAATAACTATGGCAGTCTGAGGAATTTTTTTAATTCAATTATTTTCAAATTGGACAAGCGTGTAGTGCTATTAGGTTTTAATTATATCGCGGGTGAAGCTGTCCAAATTAATCGTTAATTTAGACAGTTTGCAAAATTAAAGGAGAAGTTCACTCCAAAATGGCACTTTTCTTTCTTCCGCCAATAGAAAGTTAATGCACAGATAAGTTACTCGCCGAAATTTCAGCTTCTAAAGAGCTTTCTAACCTAATGAAATCCTTGGCCAAAGTAGCCCAAAAATCGTGCGCGAATCCCGCCATCTTGGAATATACTTAGCAACCTGGCGATGCTTGCGTGACGTCAAAGAGTTCAACCCAAGTTTGGTGGGAAGAGGCGGGAAGATTAAATACTCTTCAGATTGTGTTAGTCATGCCTTTTTGTTCAGCACCATACTGCTCAAATAGGTCTCAAAGAGACAGCGAAAGAGGTGTTTCGTTTCATCGTTTACCTGTTTAAAAAAAACTTCACTCGAGAATGGGCCGGCACAAGAACTTCTTGCCAAAACTGGAACACATTTTCATTTGTTCGGATCACTTCACCGATGACTGTTTCGAAGTCGATCATTAAGAAGAAGTCCAGTCCTATTAAAAAGCGAGCTGCAAGCGAACGGAGGCGAGCAATTAAAGAAAGAAAAGAGGTAAGTAATTTTGTTTACTTCGAAGACTGTTATCTATTATTTAAAACGGATAAATTCAAAACTGATCAATAAATTTCTTAGCTCTGTCAAAGTTTGATAAATTACATGAAACAAAAAAAACTGAACGGAATTGTTCTTAAAAATGGTTGGAACTGCGTCAGGTTTTTTCTTTCTTTTGTGGGTTTTTCAGCCGAGGAGATTATGCCGGTGATCGACTTCGAAACAATCATCGGTGAAGTGATCCGAACAAATGAAAATGTGTTCCAGTTTTGGCAAGAAGTTCTTGTAGTTCTCGTCTCGGCCCAGTTTAATTAACCATTCTTGAGTGATGTTTTTTCTTGAAACAGGTAAACGATGAAACGAAACAGCTCTTTCGCTGTCTCTTTGAGACCTATTTGAGCAGTATGGTGCTGAACAAAAAGGCATGACTAACACAATCTGAAGAGTATTTAATCTTCTCGCCTCTTCCCGCCAAACTTGAGTTGAACTCTCCATCTCCTTAGCATCGCTAGGTTGCTAAGTATATTCCAAGATGGCGGGGTTCGTGCACGATTTTTGGGCTACTTTGGAGAAGGATTTCATTAGGTTAGAAAGCTCTTTGGAAGCTGAAATTTCGGTGAGTACCTTACCTATGCATTAACTTTTTATTGGCGGAAGAAAGAAAAGTGCCATTTTGGAGTGAACTTTTCCTTTAACAAATAATCGTGCGTATGCTTGAATGGGATTTTGGGCTGGCGATATAACTAATAAATATAATAAACCGACTCAGAAATGGGAAATGCTGTCAACCTGAAGAAATAAGAAATAATTATGTAACAAAATAACTATCAACGTTTAGATCAATCGACGTCACGAAAATTACTGTTATTAACCCACACTGTGATGTACATTTTTCATAATCATGTTATTGGAATTAAAAAGCAAGAAATAACACCATAAAACCTTACTTGCAAGTTGAATAATTGGTACTATTTTCTCATTAAATACGTGTTTCAGATGATTACAATTTCCATTTGACTCATGCCGTGTATAATTAATTCATGATTGGCTACTTCTATTCATATAATTAAGTTATAATTGGTGATATCAATAAGTGATCAGTATAATGTCATTAACTTACTCTGAAGATTTCTTGAGGTCACTATGAATATATGTCAATTTTTTGTAATTTTTGTATTTAGATTTCAAGGTTACTGCCACACGGCACATTAAGTCATAAATTGTTACTACGGTCCTAAGGATGATGGTGATTATTTTTCGTTTGCTTCAGCTGTTGAATTCAAATTTCAGGCTTTTTGTATTTTAAAACATGTTTCAGTTTCTTACATTTGAAACATGTTGATAACTTATATTGTCGTGGCTTATGATGCTGGATTAACCTTTGATTGTGTTCTATTAGCAATTCCTTGTCTCAGCTGCCTCCGGTCGACAATGCCTTAATTTTTTCTGAATATTAGCCGTTTAATTATAATTCTCCAAAACATTCAAAACTAGGAATAGTCCGCCCTACAACTGCCCCACTGAAACTGGCAGAATTCACACCAGGAAACGGCGGTTAAAATCCACGAATTACATTTTGAAGCCGGAAATGCAGGGTTGAAATGAAGCCAAGAACAACTACAACGAAAAACCTAATTTACGATGAGAAGGAATTCTGAATTGGCCCGCCGGAGCATTGGAGGAGTGTGGTGTAAACAGTTCATCGAGTCACGGACAGCTGTCCGAGACGTGATGGCTTTTAGTACATCTGCTCGATTAACCGAGAAACAATGTCCTTAAAACTCAAAGCGGAACAGAACGTTTAAAAAGCCGCTTTGGGAGAAAATAACATCTAAAAGAAACGAAGTGTTTTTTTTTTTAACTGAATATTGTATGGTGGAATGTTTTGTTTAAAGGATTCAAAGAAGATCATTTTGCATTTCAATTCTGACTTCAAAAGTCTTCAAAATTTGTTGCATAGATGATATATCCCGACAATGGCTTTGTATTGTCTAAATACAATTTATCAGCATATATATATGTGGGTTATACACGGTTTTACTGAAAAATAAAACACAAAAGCTCTATGCATGATTGATAAAATATAAACTTACTTGTGGAGGTTTGCTGTAACAGACTAGAGTCTTTGACGTTCCGCTGCTCTTCAATGTTAATTGCGTTTGAGAGAATTATTCAAGATTCGTCAATTTCAGTAAACTTTGGCACACCAGTAGTTTAGCTAACGGGTAGTGATTGGTTATCGGTTAAAAATATTAAGAGCATAAAGTTTCTCCTTTAATATTACATGTACTTGACTCAATTGAAAACAATTCCAAATTAATCTTAATTGTATTCAGTCACGGAAAATTTAGGAATCTGCAGGGGCCGGATTCACGAAGCTAGCCCTCCTAAATTAAGATGTTGTTTCCTAGCAATATACACTTTTTAGGAAACAATACTTGGGATATGTGGAAAGAAATGATGGTATATTTTAAGCTTGGTAGAAATATGAGAAGGATATTATTCTGTCAGTGACACAAGCTACTCGGAAAAAAATTCCGAGTTCCACCAACACGAGTCAACTCCTATGACCTTCCGCACACCGGTCGGACGCTCTACCACTGAGCTACAGGAGACTCGTGGGAGCTATTAAAGGCCATATAACTAGGTTACTAGGATATAATACTTATCAGGATACATCTTAGTTTGGGAGGGATTCGTGAATCCGGCCCCACTTGCAAATATCTACCTCTTATCACAAGAGTAAATAATTGGCAAATAATGAGAAGATCCCTCGCATTATAAATTTATTGAGAGACTGGGCGGTTTTATTTGTTACTAAATGTCTTGTTAATTAATGGATCTTTCCGGCTTTTAAGATTTTTTCATGGAATGATTGTCGTGTTGAATAAATGGCGCCGCAATTAAGATATGGCTTTACCAAAAAGGTTTAATGTATAGAAATTTTATGAAGGAAATATCCAAATGATTGCGTCGACAACAAGCGAAAACTCAACGAAAAAGAGGAAATGAACTTCGAAATTTTTAAATGTCTTGAATTCGAAGGTCGAAAAAATCGATATCAATAAAAAAATCAGCTATAATAATGGACACGAAATTTGTAAATGTTCAAAAATAAGAAATAACTTTCTCTTCACTGTTGTCAAATTTGCGAGTCTTAAGACATTTCTACAATAATTAATTCCTCACACTTTCTTTTTTTATTCTTTTTCACGGAGAACCCTGCTAAAAATTGATAATAAATTTTATTTTGTATTCAGCAGCAGTTTTAATCATAATTCGGCTTGGTTAACGACAAAAATTGGGTGTAGTTTTGCTGTGCTATTAGAATATTAGAGTCTCCTATTTATTCCTGCGAAATAGGGGACGTATCAGGCTATTAGAATCATTGCCAATAATATAATGAACAGACGTAAGTCGTTCACGGAAATTTAGGACTCAAAAGGAGCATTTTTAACTATACATATTTATCTTCAACCCTATATAAATAATGTTTACATTTCAACATCAAATGTCCAGGCATGCATTTTCCTTTCAGTTAAAACAATAAACGCGTTCTTTATAATTCAGAGAGAAAATTTGGCAAGGTTATAACTATACTAGACAGAAGGGAAAACCAGGTGTTAAGATTGCGACAAACTGACTGAAATCAGTGTAAGATAAAAATATAAATCCAACTATACTTTCCTTATCTGCGTATCTACTGACCTACGTTTAACAAAATGCACCCTTAATAATTCTTTAGAATATAATTTAATACTGACAAAAATCTGCGTGTGGTTATTTTACTATATCTTGGAGATCAAAACACCACGGACACGGTATAGATTCAAATCCATGATAAAAGGATAAACAGATATTGTTATTAAAAAAACTTACTTTTGTAGTTTCTTTCAGTAAATTACTTATCCATGAACGATTTTCAATGGGTTTCCAAAGTCCATACGTCATAAAGATGTGAATTTCAGGACAGCAGGTGTGAATTGCAAGACAGAAGGCGTGGGTACGCCCGTGCCGCGGACCACCGCAAAACCGCCTGTCTTCAAAAAGGTTTCATTTTTCAAGTCACATGAATTTAGATTTATGCATATTTGAATTGCCGTACAGAGTTTGTCAGTACCCCACTGACCCTTATCAAATGCAACAAGACTCGACCACGGTTCAATCGCTAAATGTCCCACCGCTTTGTTTGGCCGATTCGCTAGCTTGGTGTCTTCATGCCCGATCAAACGGGCTCAACATTTGCCTCAACATTCTCTCAACATTGGTTGTGAGCAGATGTTGAGGCCGTTTGACACCCCCCTGTGACATGTTGAGACGAGTTTGAATTCATTTAAACTTTGTCTCAAAATCTTCACAACATTTATTTTGTTCTTGAAATGTTGAGAGGTTGTTGAGGCCGTTTGACAGGGCATGGTCTCAACATCTCTCAACATGACTCAACAAATGTTGAGATAATGTTAGACGGCAAATGTTGAGGCCGTTTGATCGGGCCTTTACCCACTATTAAGGTACAAATTAAACATGTCGCTCCTGAAAAAATCCGGTGACAGAAAACTGAAAACGTTGATTTTTTTACCAGGATTTATAGAAAATCCCATCTGGGTTTCATCATGGGAATCGTGAAGACAATAAACCTCAGAAGAAACGTCTGTGTAGAAAAACCATCTATAACTAAACAGATTTTTGAACTACGTTTTTGATAAATTGGGAATCTGATGGCTCTCCAACTTAGCGAGAGATGATGGTAAAACGACAGTTGACAAGGAATCGCGTTTGTTAATGCAGAAACACCAATTTCATCGCTAACATATGGTGCATAGCGAAATGCTCCGAATTTACGTTGTATCGTTGAAGAAGAGTCCAAAAATCAGCATTTTAGAGCAGGTTATGAACAAGTGTTCTAAGATCTCACAGCTTTACTATCGCGCCCGATTTATTTTTGATGTATTCTTTAGATTTTTATTCTGCACAGCTTTTTTAACTTTTTCATCTTCCTAAATGTTTAATGTAATATAGTTTGCAGAGCTTCCCTAGGTACCAGCCTACGAGCTGAATAGGCCACCCTCAGATGTGGAACTACGTTTTACTTCATTTACTTTCATTGATGAAAGGGTGTGCTGTGCTTTTAAGAACGTTGACTCGATCCAATTCGGTTGGACTTCGAGTTGAATCGTGTAGTGAATGTGAACTGCTTCACTGCAATCTAGACGAGCGTAGCTATGAATGAAATTCATTGGCAGTGCGAACGACTCGACCCGGGCCAATTTTCTCTTTACGCCCACTTCAAGATGCTTCGAGTTGATCAAAAGTTTAGAATTTGAATTTAACCAGCGGTACGTTTACTGTTTGGGTTAAAAAGTGGTTGGAATTGTTTTATGATTCATTCTTAGTAAACCGGTTAGTATTTTCATATTGGTGTGTCGGGCAGCTAATGGCTCGATTGTGTTCTTCTAGGTCCTTCTAGGGAATCAGGTTACTGAGGGCTGGAAACAACTCAATTCGTGAATCGTGTTCTATTTTATTGTAGAAAAAGTCTTAACGCCGCCATCTTGAAGTGGGCGTAGAAAAAGAAAACTGCCGGGGTCGGGCCAAATTTGTTTTTACGCCCACTTCAAGATGGCGGCCATTTACATTTTGTATTTTTTTAAGCGACTAAATATTGTTTTAGGTTAATCAACAGTTTAGAATTTGAATTTAGCCAACGTTTTACTGTTTGGGGTTAAAAAATGGTTTAAATTTTGATGTTAAGTAGCGATTTTATGATTCGTTCGTAGTAAACCGGTTAGTATTGGTCAATATTGACGTGTGTTACGGGAGCATGTTATTGCCGCAGCTAGCGGCTCGATTGTGTTGTGTTAGGGAATAAGGTTATTGTGGGTTAGAATCAACTCAATTCATTAACTGTGTTCCCTTTTTTGTGGGAAAAGTCTTAAACGCCGCCATCTTGCCGCCATCTTGAAGTGGGCGTAAAAAAAAAAAATTGCTCGGGTCGGGCCCTGGGTCGGGGGTAAGTTTTTTTACGCCCACTTCAAGATGGCGGCAAGATGGCGGCAAGATTGCGGCGTTAAGACTTTTTCGTGATTCGTGCGATATCGGAATTCCCTGGTCAGGCAATGAATTTTTTCTATATTATTCGAGTTTTAAAAACAATGAATTCAATGTATATCGCTAAATCTACATGGTAAACCAGAAAATCGCATATCCAAATAACCAGTACCATTCTAGAAAAATTGTATTTGTAATTACGTCATGCAATTAAGTTTTTCAACAATAGTTATTTTGTAGGTTTCTGTTTGTAATATAAATGGACGAGTCGCACGTGGAGTCATAATAAACTGCATCACAGTTGAGATCGCTCTCACACTCGTTAACACCTTCATAATCTAATTTAAGTCCTCTTATCTACTTTATTTTATCATGAATCATTTATTATTTAAAATTATTTCATTTAAATTCTGATCGCGGAAGATAGTATTTATATTCAGCCTTGATCATCAGTGGAGGAATCGATTGCAATACTATATTTCTCTACACTTGTTTTGCTATTGTAAGTGAACTACATGTATATTAACTAGATATCGATGCTACACTGTCACCAGAACAATTTGTAATAGCATCATTATAACATTGATTTTCACCATACTTATTTTTTTTCAGGCAAACATTTCGCGATGGCAATACTCAAAAACGCTGCTTTGCTTGTGCTCGTATTCTATTGTTTGTTGTCCCAAGGCTTTCCTATGACTTTGAATACTCTGCAAAGAGGCACACGTGAAGAATCAGTCCGAAAGAGATCCCTGGGTCATCTTTTAATTATTGGTAAAAAGAATAATAACAACTAAGGTACGGGTCGCACTACAGCCAATTTTGACCAATTTTGTTTATTCAAGTGTCAAATCTGTCAACACGTAACGTAAAAATCGTAAAATACAGTGCGACCCCCAGTTTCAATTTGTTGCCAATTTTTTTGCGAATTGCCAAATTTTCGCCAATCTTCAAAGAAGCCGAAGTGTTGCCCTGGAGGCGACCAAATTTTTGAAAATCACACAATTTTGTTATTTTAGCCCGTTTTAGCCATTAAACTGTCATTCACGCAAGATGCTATGTTTTGATAATTAAGATTCGCTAGTTTAGCGCGTGCAATTACGGAACAAAATAATTTTTTACCTGGTTCATCTGACTCTTTTAATAATTATTTCGACCGGAAAACGAAGAACATGAACATCGATATTACGCCGCGAATGTCTATGACTACACTGGGTCTGATCGAAACCAAATTTACCGGCGGCAATTTGGAGAACAATTCGTCTCAAGTTCAAAACAATCTCCTTCGATTGCAATTGAAGCCAGCAGCAAGAAACGTAGACTTTCTAAAAGCCCTTTCCAATATTATTTTCCCCTTTCGTTGGTTTTGGTTTCCTCTCGCGACGTTCCTCGATCGTTGTCGCGCGTCGCCCGGTTTCGCTCAAAGAAGACGACTTGTGGCAAGTCTACAAGAAACGACGAAAACCAAGAAAGCGAAGTACGAAACGTGGTCCCAAGCCGTTTAAGTTTACATTTACATCAATCAGGAGAGTTTTGGAAAACACATCTTGGTTTGAGTGCGACCACC